TGTATATGTCGATGCTAAGGAGATTATGTTTGCCAGTACACAAAGTGGTAGTGCGCCGTCGACGACGCTAGAGGTGTATGGCTTGCCATCGGTATTACAGTATCTCACTGTAAGTCGTTTGTTTAAGAATATAAAAATATATATATGTATATTTGTTTTAAAAATCTATTTAAAAAACTTAGCCTTACGTATAAAGAAATGACATAATTAAAATTATTGATAAATGTTTTAATTTTCTATTGAATTATTTATTTGTTGGAATTAGAGATTCCAAGCTCTCTCAATATTAATATTTAACAAATATTACAAATTTTAAGTACTTGAGCTTAAAATTTGTAATATTTACTACATGTTAATATTTATTATGTCGTATATCTGTTTTTAAATTTTATAAAACACTAACACTTTTTCTATTAGGTTGACGTACCAGATGGTGTGGCCATTACTTGGCAACATGTTTCCAAATCTACAATGCAATATAGATTGCGTTTAATGAATAATCAAGACGAGATTCAGGGACAAAAAGTGTTTATTGCGAACGATTTGACCAAGCAAAACATATCTGTAAGTAAGCTGTATGTATGTTTGAAACGCATTTATGTAGCTGACATTAGCAATCGTTATTTTATGACATCATGCGTTTCTTTTCAGCTTCGCATACGTGTTTCGAGGTATAATCAATTCATCCCTATGTCCGGAGTACAATGGGTCAATTACATGTATTTTCACAGATATACGCTAGGAACGTTCGCTGTTATTGTGATTACAATTTTTTATGGTAAAGCTAGATTTGAATTTTTTAAACTTATGTCATTTTTAGTATAGTACCTAACGTAGGTTTTGTGTATTTTTCAGTTTGGAAACATAAAGTAGCGACTGTCGATTTAACAATCAGAAACAGAAGTATTTTTGGTACGTATGTCATTCTTTTTTTTTCCTAATTTTACTTGACATTAGAGTTACGATGTTTGTCTTACAATGTTTTTCTCAATACAGCATTGTAACATTAATGACATTCTTTATAGTTGATAAGTCTCCGCCGATGATGAAAAAGACGATTTGTACTTCGTGTACAACTACTCCAACGGCCACTACGCCAAGTAGCAGCCCGCTTCGAACTCCGCCGTTAAGGCCTTTTTCGGCATTTGAATCATCTGTTTATGGTGACCCTCGTAGTTTCGGCACACCGTATATTAGAAGAAGAGATTTGTGTTAGAACTCTCTCTGAATTATTGACGAAAATTTATTAGAAAATAATGTTCGTTCTAATATTTTCGCTAAGAAATATTTAAATTAACATGCTCAATTTTATGAGAAAGGTTTAGTTTTGCAAAGCTTCTGATGCTTTCATTGAGAATTATTTTCATTTATTATAAATGAATATGATAATCATTGCAGAATCGTGCCTTAAAGTAAAAATTGTCATCTGTTTTGTTAATACATGGAAACACAGTGCTACATTTCTTAAGAAAAACTTAGTTTTTATAAAATGTTATACTTATTTCTTTGCTTGACGTGACAAATGTATGATATTATATATACGTGTGTGTGTGTGTGTGTGTGTGTGTGTGTGTGTGCGCGCGCGCGCGCGCGCGCGCGCAAAGTAGGATTACAATAGTCTGTTAACATTGCCATGATACACGATTTCTCTGTGTACTATTTTCATTTTTATAACGATACCGACAGTTCCTAGTCATACAACTATATACTTTTGTTTACGTAAATAAAATGACAGCCAACTTATTATTCAATGTACACAATATTATATTGCATATTATCAGAGAAAGGACAAAAAAACCTTATTTTTTTATATTTTGTAAAACTGTGATATGTACACATTTCTAGGATATATGTATAGCAAAACAATCTTTCAATTTTATATTCTAAGTTAAATATAGAAGTTAAATATGCTAGAAATAGTTTAATTATTCGCTTGTTAAGTAAAAAACCCAAGTTAGATTTCTGGTGCCAAATATAATATAAAAAATTTTGAGAGGAAAGATTTCATTGTAAAACAAGAAAAAAGAAAACTCAAGGAAATTGGGTAATAAATCAAAACATTTTGCTCTTTAGATGTCAGAAGTATCCAAGTAAGAAGTTGATATATACTTATAAATACAAAAAATGCAACATGATGTTCATAAATAGCGTCACGTTTATTACAAAAGTAGATGTATATAATAGAACAGTTGTGTTTCTTACAATGATATAGGAAAATTTATAAAGTGACCTAGAAATTTCAAGGAACGATTCTAACATGTAATATACAATCAATGTTTTTTCGTGTTCTTCAATAATTTCTCATATTTACATTTACTGGAGTACCACAAGGCGAATGGAATGAGCAAGGAAGGTAGAGTCATCACGGCGAACGCGGCCCAATCGACCTGTAAGACACAACAAAATAGGATTGTATTGTGAAGCGATAAAACTTAACTCTAAAATATATATATAGATTAAGATAATATATCGATACTTAATTTTCAATCAAGACCTTAGGCAATAATTATTGTAATTTTGTTATAAAGCAAACAATGTAACATATGTTATATATATGACAAAAATAAAATAATTTGTAATAATCTTACTTGGTAAAAACAAAATTAGATTAACTATCATCGTATAAATTGAGAAATAGAAAATAAAAATGTGTAAATAGTACATTATATAACACAATGTGATATACAAGACTTTACAGTATTTATTTTTCATGTTATTACATACGTGTGATTACATTTCTAAAATTTGTGAAGTTATAAAGTTACTTTTTTCTGCGATATCTCTCTTGTAACTCTATTACAAATAATATTTGTATGATTATATAAATATATGTTCGTATTTACCACATGAGATGAAAACTGTTTGTCATAGTCCCTGTATGCCACAATGAGCCCCTCACCAGGTTCACTGCTCACAGCCACTTGTAATCTGGGGGCATCCTCCTTGCGACGATAGAGAACTTCGGCTGAAGTAAAGTTGAAATATCCAAACTTACGTGGCCTCACTACCACAGTATGGCTTACATTGGTATAGGGTGGCACGCGATCGATTCTAGCGTTCAACTCGCCGCTCACATGAGTGAAATGATCTGGATGGAACGAATTGTCCGTAATCTCGACCTCCAACGCTGCCACGTTGCCAGTATTATAAATAGTATACTACAAATTAAATGTAGATTGTTAAGCAAAATAATATTTTGACAGTTTAGAAAATGTTCATTGAAGTTAAGCATTAGCCATGTTCAGCAGAATGTTTATCTACGACTGTTGGAAATTTTCTTTGCATTAATTAGATTACATTTTTATGTGTAGATCTAGAAGAATGGTCCTATCTCTCAATGAAAAAAACTTGCAACAATTGCAAAATAAATATTCTGTTAAACGCAGCTATTTTACAAGAATGTTTTATTTTAATAGATCTGTTTGCGTTATTTGAAATCCTCAAAAATTCTTGTACCTAAAATGAGATAAATATATATTCGGACTTTGAAGAAAAAGAAAGCAAAGATATACTAAATATAAAAAGTGTAACCCAAACAGATCTAAAAAAATATACTTTATTTTACTTTATATAGATATCAGAAGCATCAAACATAGGAGAAATTCTCCTTTTTCGTTACCTTAATAACTATATCCATATTTTCTACCAGGTATTTGTTGAGTATCTGTTTGGAAACTAATAATCTAGCAGCTTCTTCCTCCTCCTCTGCGTATATAGTTGCGCATAACACAGCGAGCGCTGTGAATAAGATGTGCCACTTCATTCTGTAAGATTAAGAGGTCTTATTAGTCACTTTGTTATCAATTTTCAATGTAAAACGCTATTAATGTACGTAAATGCACCGATGTAAGTTGCTTAATTCATATATCACGATATTTTATGTCAACCTTACATTAATTTATCCATTTACATGCGTCTCGACGACTCTGTTATCGAGTACGATTTTGACATTCAAAAGTAGCGAAATTTGTGTCAAATTTTTATAACATCTCAAGGATTATGTGTGGAACAATTATCTCGTTTACTATCACGGTCATAATTATGCCATTTCGGGCAGATATTCGAAAACACCTGTGATGTGCCACTAAAAGACTCGACCTGTTGTCAACCTCTTGAGAACAATTCTTAGATTTTTATCCTCGCGGGTGTTTGAGAATAAAAAAAAATGAAACGAATGAATAGAACTTACGTTTTTCTTTGTAAAAACGTTCAAGAACCGGTGATTATTGTCGCTCGCTGTCTGAAAACGCGCAAACAGTCTTTCGTTTCACTCGTTCAGTTCACTCAGTGCCAATCGCTCCATACGTGATACGCGTATAATAGGGGCACTCAGCACCCGATCCAACCCCAGCACCGGAACGAAATATACCCGGGAGAACCGGAGAAGTGCCAACGGCGTCCTGTACGCTGCCACGTTTCCGGACACGGGATGATAAGTCCGTGTACACATCGTTACTTCCGGTACGCGCTGTAAGCGGTAAGATGGCGATGGGTGGCGCACCTTTTGTACGAACGATATGAACGCGTCTGCCACAAACTCGAATAATTTCATTCCTAATTAAATATCTACCAATAATTCGCAAAGTCGACATTAATAAAATTTTTAAATGTACCCTGTAACATTTGATTGTGATTTTATTTTAATAAATCCGGAATGAGTATATAATTTCATCGAAATTGGGACAAAGGGGTGTTCTAATTAATTATCAAATCCAAATTACAAAATATTTCCAGTGGCGAGTAGATGCAAGATATTGTATAAATATTTTCTTGTTACAACAAAAAGAATGTCGACGTGCCTCGCTCTTGATTCTTGCAAATAAGGGAAATTATTCATGTAAAGTGCAAGTGCAGTAGACGCAAGTGTAGAACGCTGTTGACGATCAGCTGATTATGACAGTCGCTCGATTGTTATGCGCGGGTGAGAAAATAAAGTGGTTTTATCAAGAATCTTGTAAAGCGAAAGAGAGAGAGAGAGAGAGAGAGAGAGAGAGAGAGAGAGAGAAGATAGAAGTCCGTGTCCCAAAAGAAACGAACGTCCAATTTAAAGGAACGATTCCACGATGCGACGACGAGCCTGACATATTTCGTTTACGTGCGTCAAAGACTGGGTGATTAGAGTTACTATTTACATTTCAACATGTCGAATTGACGTTGAAGTGGCATTTAAAACTGCGAGATTTCGACCTGATGTGATATTCCAAACGATGGCTGCGAAAGTCTATCAACCTGATCAGGAGTTGGAAACAAAAGTTAAGAAAGGTTAATACTGTTAGCGTCTTGATACCTTATTTTTAAGCCTGTTCTACAATTGCATAAGCATAGTTGTAAGTAGTTGTTGTAAGAGCTATACGGTACACAGAAAAACTTAAGCAATAAGAGGAAAGTAGGAAAGAAATCAACACGTTGCTGTTGTTTACATTATGATTTTATGATCTCTACTGTGATTGGTAGAATTCAATTGTGTGGTTGGTCAACTTTTATAAATATAAATTTAAAATTAATTACAATTACACCTACATTTTGAATTGTGAATTGAGCGTTAATTTACATCATTTTGAATATTTGCTTGATATCATAAGTTGACTTACAAACTAAATAGTTCTATGCCGATTAGCTTTTAAGAATTAAATAGGGATCGG